CTGATTGCAATTTTGCAGTAACTAACTACGGCAACTGCTGAAACACTTATCAAGACCTTTAGAAAGAAAGAAAAAATGCAAGAAATTAAAATAGTCAGTTTGATTYGACCCCCTATGGGTGTTACAGGAATGTAAATTATTTCCCATTTAGATTAAAATAAGAGAGGGATGGGTAGGGTATATGGAGAGCATATTAAATGTAGTTGCAAAAAAAAAAAAAAATCATGGAGGTCAAAGTAATATATCAAACAGGTTAAAGAGTGTTTCATCCAATTTCCAAACACTGACATTGAGTTGAAAAAAYGAGGCGGAGCAGAGCTTTTTGAAACTCACTTCTCAGTGTTTGGAAATCGGATGAAACACTATTTCAAGTGCTTGATATGGCTTCTTAAACTATTAAGTAATATATACAGTATGAGTGGCCGTGTTGTATCCCATATAGTCGCCGAGAGTTTGTACATCGGATACAACACGGACACGAATACTGTAGATTGCTTATCAGACGTCTAGGTTAGTTCCTTTGTGTTTCACTAAAATTTTCAAAAATAAATTCTAAAACTCATGAATAATTAATGAGGAGAAGTGAAGCAAATCACTACTGTGACGGTGGTTTGGAAATGTGTTCTTAATTTGCATTAAATTTCGTAAACTTTTTCCTTGATTTTCTCCAAGAAATATTCATGAGTTTGAGAAGTAATTTGAAGCACTTGCGAGAGTTCTTCCTCCAATTTCCAAACACCTCAAAGTCAGTTAAAAAAACTTGGCTGCGCCTCGTTTTTTTCAACTCACTTTTCGGTGTTTGGAAATTGGATGAAGAACTCTCTCGCGTGTTTGAAATATTACGTGAATCGGCCCAAGAAAATCCAAGTTAAAGTTTATGCAAATGAACACGATTCTGTATCTGATTTACAACACTCTTCATGGTCGTGATTTCTATTGTTTTCCTTATGAATTATTAATGCTTTTGATAATAATTCTTGGAGAAATTCAAAGCACAAATTGCCCAAATTTTGCTAATTAAAATTGCATTTCCAAACCTCCAACCTAGTGATTTTCTTTGTTAAATAATATTATCCTCATGAAAAATTATTAAGGTTTAGAATTAAAGTTCCAAGATGATGAGCGTATGTCGTGTATAGCTTCAGAAAAACATTCACCACTATTCCCCCTTTATCATTCCATMTCCCCTCTAACACTAGGGTAAGTTTATGTTTAAAAAATGTCCCCTGGACTGAGCCATAAYATTGTGAACTTTGGCTGATAAGAAGTTGCTATGAAATGAGACTCTTGAAAAAGGGCAAATCAAGTATAAAGAAGCTTAAAGTCCAAAAGAACCCACTGTCTCAACAATGTCTCTTATTTTACTTCTTACGGCCATTGTTATTTTAAATATTTTTTCTAAGAATAGGTTGCTAGGAAATTCCTTAATAGGAAAAACAAAAAGGTTGATTAGAATAAGGCAGAGTAGAGTAGTGAAGGGTAACAGCAGAGTGGAATAGTGGAAAAGTGAAAGTCAGTGGGATAGCACAAAAGCAGGTGTTACACATCTGAAAAAATATCCAAACATCACAAACAGTCCAACCAAAGTCTAGCAAACAAAGCACAGCTGAAAACGAACCACACAGCGGGCCAGAAAAGATACATTTTCCCTTCATCCATTAATACTTTGGAAAAGAGAATTTTTCAATTGAAAGTGTTTTAATGCCATAGTCATGGTAAATTGTGCTTTTCTTCTCCCTACTGTTCCTATGTCTTAAAGCTATGCACTAYAACATATTTGAAAAATACTATCCTTTATCCTATATCCACTAATCCTTTTGTCATTTAACATTTTACTAATAATTGAGCTGAAAGCTCCTTTAATTGCTGGATAAGACATTTGACTATTTCTAAAAAAAGTCATTTGAAAATAGATGGAGAAAAAAAAAGTGCCTCAAGGGAAATGTTATYATTAACCAGACCTTCAATGTGCTACCCCTAAATGTATTGTCAAGACACTGACTTTATTCTTTTAATAAGAGTCCACAGAAATTTGCGTTAACTGTTGCCGTTTCCCCTGCCGCCTCAGAACATGACATTGTATTTATACTTGAATCATTTTTCTTCTTCATATTTTGAACTCGAGGCAAAGTTAGATAAATGAATAAATAAATAAACCTGAATTTTGATATCAGTCAGGAAACGAGTTCAGCTGGTGTCAAGAATGGGAAGAGAGCAAAAGGAAAKAGATTGAATTTCAGTTAGAAGGGTTACGAATTTAAGAAGACCAAACAACAGGACTAAAAATTATGAAATGTGGACTGATGGACTCATCATTGAAGTGTTTTTTTCCATGAAGCTGATGGAGAATAAAAAAAGAAAAAAAAGAAATGCCCTTCCCTGGAATTAAAACCAGTCATTATGTTTTGCTTGTTGTACTGGGAATTCTCTACTCCCAATAATGTATGTCTTTATAGTTAATATCATTTTGTACTACGGAAATGTTTTTCAAAATCTATATTGTATTCTTACGTTTTTATGTTTYTAAATACATCCCTTATGTTTAAAACAGTCTTCTGTTGGTTGTATGGTAACGGTCTTGATCATTAAGCTAGCAATATGAACTGTGAATGTGATTCTAGTAGCAGATGGGTATCAGGACGTAATATGGAAGAATGAATTAAGACCCAATAACTACTTACTTTCAAAAATATTTTGAAATCATAACTGCAACTTAAGATTCAGTCAGGATTTCCATTTTGGAGGAGAAGGCAAGTAACAATAGGAGTCACTTTAAACAAAATTGGTTAAGGAATATTCCATAGTTGTGTTTAAATTTCATATAGAAAATAAACATTAAATAATGAATACTTACTATTAAAACGGCACCAGCATCATGGCATTTTAGAAGCACATGTGGACTCTGTGAGGCAATGACCAGGATATACACACACATAGTACAATAGATAACACTTAAAACTGTTAAAACAGGTACTGATTTGGTTCTGATCACGGGGAATATCAGACATGTCAACGGATTGGCAATATTAGATAGTGTTAATGTTAGAAGGTAAATGTAGTAACTGTAGGGTATACAGGCAAATGATTGGATAGCTGGGATAATGCCATTGCTTAGTCCATTTATGACGGCAAGGAGAATTAGGAGGAAGACATTGGTCCGCATTGACTGCTCGATAACTGGATTATTGATGAAATGCTTTTGTCGGCCTTCACCATTGTCTATATTCTGTAATTCATATACATCACTCATTGATGAATGCATCGAGTTATTCCGAACTTTCTGCTTTTTGATGACAGGGAGTGTATTAAGACCCAGAAATGCAATCCCGCATAATGCCATCATACCAGTCAAAAACCAAAAAAAGACATCTGTTGAGAACCTCGGACCAGGACCCCAGCTCTGTGAGGTTGAATTGGTTGCATTGGAGGTGTTCATAGTTAAGGGGGTTGCACACTTCTCGTGAGWGGCACCCTCCCCCACCCCTTGAGCAAGTGCTACCAAGCTGGGAATGAGCCCGCTTAGACCTTCACCTACGAAGTAGGGACTCAAATAAATCTCACGAAAGCGTGCCATGTAGGGTACAAACGCAACGGAAGATGTACAATCGACCGTCGATAGGAAAAACGAGAGAATCAAGAGAGCAATGCTACGTTCAGCTCCTGCTATATAYACAGTCTCTTTCCAGAAGAGAGCCAAAAGTGAACAAGACGAAATACCGATGACGATGAGGACGTACGTCACAGAAACTTCGTTTATCTTTTTCGGATGGTAAAGATTAAGGATAGTGAAGGCCAAAGGTCCTATATTCCCAAGCTGRATGATAACGGTTAAATAAGACGGCAAGGACCAACTTTCGGGTATCTCTTGAACCATRACCGGCATTTCCACCCAAAGGCCATTAATGGCGACCCAAGCACCGATACCGAAAAGGACCACGAGAACGTAAGTGATCAAAGAGATGTCTTTCCATGCTTCTTGAACTTTCTGCTTGAAGCGTTCAAATTTTTTCTTGGATTGAGCCATTATCGAYAATATGATAGGTCAAATTTCACTGTTTCTGCTCTGTGTCCAACTTACTCTGCTCACGAGGGAACGTGAACGGACTCTTTTATGACGAATGTTATGTAATAACATTGAGCCCGCGCTCTTGACAGATGTCAGCTGAACCCTTTAAGAGAAAAAGTCCGATCTGCATTCACACCTCCCCTCACRATTCTGATCAACATCCACTTTTTCCATTGATTGTAAGGGTTTTCTCTGAGTTTAAGGTCTTTTTCCGTTTGTAACTAGCATGTTAAAATTTCAATTACATTCATTTGGATGATGAACAGTTCCATGGAAACCAACTACGTACACCCTCTGTTATAAACCACCAGGGCATGCTTCTTCCTTTTAATTTATACTACATATGATTTATGCTTTCCTTTTATGAGAGTTGTTAAACGGAGTTTACCCACTTTAATAGGCCGCAAATGTAAAAATAGTTTCCATCAATTAGAGTACAAACACTAAAAGTGTGCAACATAAATATCACTAAATAGTGTTATTTTATGCTAATTATATTTTCTTTTGTTTAATTAGTGCTATTTACTGCTAAATAGCGATAACTATTGCACACATTTAGTGTTCGTACTCTATAGCTTATGGTCGAATTTCATAAGCCTGACGCGAGATGACGACGTTTTACCCCCGTCTCTAGAACATAATCCTTTTCACACTGCTTTTGTTCTTTACTTTAATTATGACTATTGTTCCTGTATTCTCTAAGAAATCAAAAATTTTAATATAAAAGAATTTTAAAAACTATTATGGTATAGAGTCGGTGGTAAAACGTCATCTCGCTTCAGGCTTATTACTTGAAAACACGACACCCACTTTTCCGGGCCCATATTTGGTAGTCGAACGAACCGAGGAAACGTCACCATGGAAACCAAAACATGTTTTTCTTTTTTATGTCAGGAGTTTTATTTATTTACGAGAGTGGACGAAAGCCGAATAATAAACTTTACAAATTACTTTAAATTGTCTATAAAACCTTGTATTACGTTCTTGTTTTTATCGATGTTGGTCAACAATGGCTTATTAACTAYATATTCAATTATTTATTAACACGGTGTGTACACATTGTACCTTGAACATTACAAATCTACATCGAGGACGCAAAACACTTGCCAGYTCACTGGCTCTTAGAGTATAAAGTTTGGGTAAAAAAACGAATAAAGTTAGGGCGTTAATAAAATACACGCCATCACGTTTTTTGATGGCCTAGAACGAAAAARAGTACGATAAGGACTTGATAATTTKACACACTGCTTTTTATAGCCTATATTTGACCGTTATTACTTGAGGGTGTTTAAGTTGATTGCGTCATAAAAAATAGAGAAAACAATGCAAGAACGTTTTGTTCATTTGTAAATCGCTCYAAATTCTAGTTTATTTTGACGTAACGTTTAATTGTGGCACGCCCTCAAATCCTGACGGTCAGAGAACTGTCATCCAATGAACTACAAGATGATTTCTATTCATTTTCAAATTAGTGCCCAGCACAAMGTAAAATGAATAGGAGATTAATTAGACAACAATCCTCATGATCTCACACAGTCTAGTTTGTAAATAGTAATCGATCGAGGCTGCAGTCTTGTTCAGTGGGTTACCTGTGGTCTATGCCTACCACGTCTATATCACAAGCCCATGATAAAAAATAGGARATTGGTCTAATAGGAAGACTTCTCTGCCACGCCATATAGTATATTCTCTAAGCCTAATATTAGATACGCTGGCGTGATAATCCTTCCTTTCCTTGACGAACGGAACCATAGCACTTGGTAAGCACTTGGTGGAATCTGTAAGCGTGCACTTTGGCTCATTTCAGGAGTGTCTTGTATAGTAAGGTGGATTTAGAAGATTCTCTTTCTTGTTCCAGTACAAAKACAAGATCTTTCAAAGTAATGCGCCGTGTTCTCTACAAATAGAAATAAATGAATGATTACAGCGATTTTCTTTATTCTGCTGGCTAGGAATTTTCGGGGGCAGGGCTTTAAACCGCTCAGTGATTTACTGAAGGGAGGAGAGAGGGAACGCCCCATTCTAAGATTTAGATTTCCAATTTTAGTATTACTTTTAACAAGAAAAGCCAATATGTCATTAAATTCTATGGTCTTCTATTGGCTTATAATCAAATGATGGAATTCTTGTGGTTTTGGAACTTTACCGCCAAAACGCGCGCCCTCGCCCCCAACTTAGGGACTCCCACTACGTCCCTAAAACTGCTGGTATTAAAGCAAAGCCAGTTTCCTGATACTGGCATCTTTGAATGTAAGCTTTAGGGCTGAAATTGCGTCATACTGAAAAATCCCTATTACTAGATGACATTTTGAACTCTGAAGATGACTTCCGCTCAGGTTGTCGAAACGTCAGTCACTTCAAACAGTCCTTCTCACGATTACATACACCCGGATGATCATAATACTTTGATTAACATTTTGAACACTGTTTCTATTTTAAACCTACCTGTGGTCTTCCACCGCGAGGGGAATTAATTGTTGCGCTTGGCGATGACGAACCCTAAAATATGAGGAACAACTATAAGTGACAAGGAATCTACTTATTTTAATAAAGTTAGTCACCAAAAAAACTAGAAAACTGAGATTACTGAGTATCATGGGAAACTTTTCATATCAAACAAGTAAAGCTTTTCGATACAAACTGCAGCTTGAGGATGCTCAGAAGAAGCTAGACTGTGACTGGTAAAAGATGTGCAAGTCCTTCAGCAGCTAGCAGCTATCAAGCGGTTGAAACATGTAAAATGTATCTACCCATAATCCTCGTCGGTGTCAGCTTTGTAGCTTTTCAGGTGACTAACTTTATCGAAGTAAGTATACAATATAAAGACAAATCTAAAAGCCAAATCTAAGTGTCAGATGCATACCTGATTTGGGTTAAAACCTTCTAACGCTTCATCTAGTTTTCTCTTTTTACGTGGTCCAATGGCAGCCAGGGCGGTGTTGTTGGCTTCTCGTTTGCGAATGATTTCTTCCTCCTCTTGTTGGAGCTATGTTCGTGTAAAAAGTCAGAGTTAATAAAAATATACCAGGGGAGTTCTACGAGTGAGTAGGAGGATGTAAAATCTGGAAAATGATCCAGACATGACTATTTTTCGTTTGCACGTTATACGTCAACGCGGCCATGTTGGTACCATTTAACATAAGATTTCTCATCAGGATCCATTGTTAACGGTACCACAATGGCCGCCATGTGTTTGTCTTTTAACTCTCTTRGGAATGCTTGCAAACCATCGATACGGAACGTAYTTCGTTCAAAGAGCCAAACGGCACTTGTTTGAAGTGACTTACAGATAAGGAATGTTTAGACAGTCTACAGTAGCCGTATCTATAAGGTCAGCCGTATCTACAAGGTCAACCGCGTATCTACAAGGTCAACCGCGTATCTACAAGGTCAACCGCGTATCTACAAGGTCAACCGTATCTTTAAGGTCAAGTGACCGGTCATGAAGGACCTGCCTTTCATATTCTCTTGATAAGGCGTAAAGCGTGGAAAACGATAGTATGAAYGTCACACGTATGACAGTTTGAGGTATCAACTGAATGGATAGACGGAAGGGGATGGAGGGCGGTAAGGAAGCAATGAAGGAAGGAGAGAAGAATGAAAGGAAGGTATGGAGGTATGGTATCAACTGAATCAGTGGATAGACGGACGGAGATGGAGGGAGGTAAGGAAGCAATGAAGGAAGGAGAGAAGAATGAAAGGAAGGTATGGAGGTATGGTAACAACTGAATGGATAGACGGACGGGGATGGAGGTAGGTAAGCAGGCAATTAAGGAAGGAAGGAGAGAGAAATGAAAGGAAGGTATGGAGGTATGGTATCAACTGAATCAGTGGATAGACGGACGGGGATTGAGGGAGGTAAGGAAGCAATGAAGGAAGGAAGGAAGGAGAGAATAATGAAAGGAAGGTAATAATAATCGTGAAGAAAATGAGAGATTAGATTTTGTAGTAAGTACCTGTTTTGCCTTTTCTTTTAGTCTCGCCTGTTCTGGGTCTTCTTGTCGTGATCGACTCTGCAAATCGATTTGAAAGTCAGAATCAATATGCCTCTTAATGCAACTATAAACTTACAAACATCACACAGATAGAAAAGAGAGTAAACCAAGAATCCACCCGAACCCCACCCACCCTAAAGACCGTYCTGATTTGTTACCTTTGCTGCTCGCATCAGTACTTCTCGTTCTCTTTGTTCTCTCTTCTTTCTTTCCACCTCGTCTATTTGTTCAAACACTCGTATCTGCGCTTTGGTTTCGGATATTGTCTCGTATCTTGGGTCGTCCTGAAGAAATTTAACGAACTTTATTAATAAATAATTTGCCATAACAAGTGCACTTGCCTCTCACAATGTGAATGGAGTTTGTTAAGTCTCTCTCCCTTGTTTTGATGGTTTTTATCTCCGCTTTTCCTCCCTCCCCGAAGCCTAACACGCTAAATTCGAATTCGATCTGTGAGTTAGTCTGCCCTGACTTTGATCAGCCAAGAGGTTGTTTCGGGGTTCGAACTGTGAGCTAGACGTGTCCTGACTCTGATCAGGCTAAAAGTTGTTTAATTTTAGGTCAGTATCGGTGAAATTTGAARGTTTATTTTCCCTCAGGCTCGATAACGGGGGGCTTTTCATTTCATCCAATCCATCCGGTTGGAAATTCGTTTGCTAATGGTAAAAAAGAGCGGGAAAATGTTTCTTCCAAAAAATGGTACACGCGTCAATCGGAATAACCGACAAGAGCCGGGAAAAGTGGATTACCTCAATATGAAGACYGAGTCTCCCTGAACTTTTCGATTCGATTAACGTATATCTTTCGTTTTCCAACCGGAATTTCCAGTTTTTCCGGGTAAATGGTAAGCACCCCTGGACTCTAAACTTCACGTCGAAAATGTAAAAATACATTTTGCGAACTTTTGCAATAATCTCTTGCTCMCTACACATTATTTTAGGTTTGATTGCATTAGAAAACCAGCATACTCCTCATTCAGATAATCCTTTCAGTAAARACAATACTCTTTTCTCTTTTTGTGAAATATTATCGCTTTCCCTTGGCCAAACATACCYTGTAATTCTCAGGCCGATTCAAGCTTATTACTGACAGCTTTTCCAAGATATCTCGCAGTCTTTCTTGAGTTGCATGTGAGATCAATCCACAGACATCTTGAGGGAGCCCTGTTATACCTCGTTTTCTGACTGCAGAATAAAATACATTTAGTCATGGTTTTAGTCCTAACCTGATTGTAGAAGAGCGGGAGCTCCAACTACTACAACTTGTTGGATGATGGCCACTAACCCCAGCGCGCAAACTTACTGTACATCTACATTGCATCTAAATTAGTTTTAGCTGATTAATACCTCAAATGACCGGCAGARCAAAGATTTGACGGCGGAAAAGTCCGAGTTCTGGCCGGACATTGTCCGATGTCTGGCCGTTATTCTAAGCCCCGACATTTAGATTCCCACGCGATTTCAAAACCGGAAGTCACAATTCCACAGAAAACATTGGATACGTTTATGACCAAAAATAACAATAGTAAAGCAGATTTCCGTAATTTAGCAGCTTTAGACATCCTTACAGCCAGGCTTTTCAAAAGTTAGYATCAATGACATTTCTTTCTTCTGGAAGACCATTACAAAACAGATGAATGGAAAGCGGTCCATTCCAAAAAGAGCCACTAAACCACATCAACTTGACTCTTTTTTTAYTTCTGACAAACAGGGCACCTTACCTAGTGATTCTAATTTCTTTTGGAGTGGTTCTGAGTACAGGAACAGCTCATCTCGACAACTTCTGGTCTGAGAGCTGAGTAGTTCTGAGTTTATAGCAAGGATTCTCTGACTTTCTTCCTGTAAGACAAGAAACGCGTAAAACATTTAACACACACACACACACAAAAAGGTGCTAAGGTAAGAAGGTAAGTGCGGGGGTGGGGGTGGGGGTGGTAAGACTGGAACTTCTGAGTGGAGGCTTATCAGTAATAGTTTGAACTTTTGTGGATCGTCAAACCTTTTTATTTGGACGAAAGCCGTTTCCTCGTTAATTTAATAGGAGGGTCATAAATTTATTACTGAGTGAAAGGGGGAGGGCTACAATTATTTTGAACTTTACTGTAAATACGCCAGCCCTTCCACCGTTCAATAAAAATATACCTTTCCTAATCCAGGGTTTTTAAATAAAAATCATAGCACCACAAAGATGTATGTTCAAAAATCAAAGTTGGGTTTGGTCTGGAGTACATGCTATGGGTAGGTACACACCAGACACACACTGCCTGTGGTGGAGGTTTACATCTTTGATTAACTTGCTTTATTGTAGCGTTTTTTTGAGCYTTTGGACCTGGAAATATGAAATGTGTGTAGCAATCTCTCGTAAAAGCAATCTCTACCTTAAAGAAGATTGCTTGGAAAAACTTACCATGAGATTAACACCAGCCATTGAAGTGACATCATTTATATCATCATCCCCACTACTGCAAAATAAAAAAATTATAAAGCCAGATCAATCAAAGAGCAGGATTTGTAGTGTTTTAGTAGTTTAATTCAGAATGCTTGAACATGCTAACATTCCTATCATACCATGTCTGTTATCACAATGTTTTTGAAAAAAAGTCTAATGAAATTTAAACTTTATTCTCCTATTGGTTGGCTCAGTTGATAGAGTATTGGCATRAGTTGTGGTGGAGGGGGAAATCAATCGACACAGCCCAAGACGTCTGAGTTTTTGGCTTAGAGAGAATAAGAGAAAAATAWCAAATGTCCTTGGCAGGAATTGAACCCACGTCTTCGGTATTCTAGTCCGATGTGTTAACCACTACACYACAAGGACCAACCACGCTGGTAACRCAGCCAGAATATGAAATGTAGGGTATTYGTGAGGATCCCAGAGTGATATTTTGTCTCTATAGGTAAAATGAACATCGTAAATATGTATGCAAAGGATAGACATGGTGTAGTAGTAATAAATTATGCGTTYRGTGTGTGTAATGAAWTAGAGAGAATAAGAGAAAGATATCAAATGCCCTTGGCGGGAAACGAACCCGATTTTTAGGCTGTTGTTGACCTAAAAATCATCAGATTAGATCATTGATGAAGCCAAAAACCAAGATGTGTCAAATTATAGCTTGTTGTCCTGGTCATATCCTTGTTTTTCTTTTTTACCAGTGGCTAACAAACCTCTGTTTATATCTAAYTTTTATTACCTGCTAATACCAGCATGTGGCTTATGCTTGGACTTGTCAGCTCCCTGTGCTGCGACTGGATGGGGTCTGGACTGTGAAACGACTGTCTTCATCCCAGAACTTCCTTGCCGTGCTGCCTGCAGCAAAATATTACGTGCTGGGACTTGTGTTCCAGAGGTTGAACCTGCACTTGATGCTGCTATAAGGACCCGGTGTGAGTTGATCTGCTGCTGCCGCTGTAACAACTGTTGCTGTGCTGGAGTTAATGTTACAACTGATTGCTTGTGCATAAGCATTAGTTGCTGTTCAGGTGTTAGTTGCAGTCTGTATTGCTGCTGTGGTTGTGTTTTTGCAGGTGTAGTTATTCTTTGTTGGGGAGATGATATAGTCTGTTGAGTTTGTGGTGATTGAGTGTAGTAGAGTATCTTCTGACCAGGTGAATTTGCTATTTGTACTTGTTGTTGTGTATGTGGTGGCTGTTGCTGCTGTTGTTGCTGCTGTTGTTGCTGCTGCTGTTGTTGCTGCTGTTGAGGGGCAACTTGGAGAATCTGTGTCCCTGCTTGTGCTCGTAACATGGGCAATGCTTTCTAATGAGCAAAGAAATGTGATACTCAGGTAGAGTGCAAATACTTAAAGCGTATGGCATTTTGCACTAATTAGTACTAAATAGAACTACTTAGACAATAGAAAATATTTAGAAGATATAACTAGCTAAAAACTAGTGTGAGCTGCGTCGGTGTTTCTAATGAAACAGTAATGATGAAAAGGTAAATTATACACCATGAAAAGATGAAAAAACTTACTGACATTTTGGACGCTAGTCCTTCGTCGGAGTAAAAGAGGAAATATTTAGTGCTAATTGTGTTGCATGGCTATAGTGTTTGTAATCTAAAATGTTTGCCTAAGAAAATCCTGTAGCTCATACTTGTGTATGTGTAGTGCATGGCTGTTGGAATACTCTAGTTTCAAGTTCTTTGTTGTTCAGGGTAAGCCTAAATTTTGTGTTGAAAATTCATATGATTTAGTGAAGGTCTGAAGAAATTGTGTTTGTAGTGTTGAAGTTGTCAGTCTTTACTTTACATTACAAATACATGATTTTATAAAGAGTGGGTGAAATGATACCTTGAGAAAGCCCACAAGATTTGGTTGAGGTCCAGAGCTGAGGGTTTCAAGAAGCTTAGAAGCAAATTCATCTTCTGTCAGCTTGCCTTCCTGTAAGATTTCAAATTGACAAGTATTAATCTCAAACRTTAAATATATATACTTGTTATACAATGGACCTTGATCACATGGCACCATTTTTATTCTCATGAGAATGAAAATATTTGTTTAAGAATGAAAGCCTCCATTTAAACCTCTGTAACTGCATTCTGAAACGCATTAAGTTTTAGCCAAGGTGCCTGCACTGTAAGAGGTCCATGGTTTTGAGCGGCATACCATGGAATATCCGAAGAGTATCTAGTACTTTCTAGTATCCCCTAGTGTGTTTACGAGGAAAAATACAAATGACAAATGCAATATTCCATGGAATGTCACAAGAAAGCATCRTGTAACTGTTTTATCCCACTCCATTGAAAATACACATTGGCTGCAATGCCTGATGGGAAGGAACAGTGGAATAGCCCCAGATATACAATGTTTTTCCTGAATTCTGATTGGTTTTATCATCRATGAATGTAATAATATAGATGTTGCAATAGATATATTACTAGATTGCTAAAAAAGTTATGCTACTAAAATTACTAAACTATTGGCATTGCCAATATAAGGATCCATTTGGTTTTGAAATACAATTAACTCACATGACCAATTGGACAGCTCCAAATAGTCAAGTGACATTATTGTCCCACTCTGTTTTGATGATTTGTATTGTATTTTGAAAGTCACATGACCTCTACTTGAGTATTTGGAGTTCTTCAAACACCAGATCAGTCAACACAAATTCAAAACCTAACTCATCATTATTTTGATGGTGTTAACACATTATTGATTTCTTTAGTATGGCTGGATGGAAATATTTGCTGAAAAAAAATACTGCCTATAGTAACAGGTCCCTGACAAACATGAAACAAGTCTAAAAGAAAATTAAATTATATTTGGTCCTTACTGATACACTATTGGGTTCTTACTGATAAATAGAACAAACCCTGAAACAAACTGTGCCCTGAACTAAGTATGAGTATGGCTAAATTACAGATACACTTTGAGACAGAATGATATAAGGAGAAACCCCCCCCCCCCCCCCAAAAAAAAAAAAAGCAGGGACTCATTTCCAGATTGAGATATGAAACTTTGAAAAAAAAGGAGAGGACATGCCCTCCAAGTTCTATTTTTCTTGCTAAGAAATAACTCTTTGATATAATCCAGGAAGAATGTAAAAACTGATGTCAGAAAGAATGTGAAAACTTAGAGGTTACTCTCRACCTTTCCAAAATATATTCATTTGCCCTGAGCATAGGTTACCATAGCCTTCAGGTCCTTGCTAAATTTGAAAATTAATATGCCCTTGTAAAAGGTGGGGGTACACAGTGAGAGCTATAGGGCAAGAAAGAAGCAAGCTTAGGAACATGAGGCGTAACTGAATGTTTCTTTTTCTTCTTGAATGCTCTACAGCTCCCAGCATGTTTATATCAAAAGACATAAGCAGTCATTTTATATTGGTTTTGTAGAATATTTTTGAACAATTTTGTGCAAGTGTGTCTCTGTCCTCTGATATAAACATGGTAGCCAGCCAATCAATGAGCTTGTTATATTTCAAAYATTYTATAAATATATATGAATATTTATTAGAATATTATCATGTTTCAGATTTAAATCCAAGCCACCCTCATACATACCATGACTTTTTGGATCAAGTCTTTTACAGCCGGTCCTACTTCTGGAGATTTTTCAGAAGCAAGCCTTATCAAATTGYTAAAAAAATTCTTGAGTTTAGAAGCTTGTTCCTTTACTGCCTCTAAATGAGCATTAATGGCATTCGCCGGAGGCTGTGCAATGGGGACTTGGGTAGCACCAATAGGAGTGGTAGGCCTGGGTATGGTTTTAGTGSATGTGGTTACAGTGTTTGTGTTGGTGCTATTTTGATAGCTTATGCTAGTGATGGATGGATTGGAAGAGCTGGCTACTAGACCCTGTTTGGAATTTTTTATAGGTGAGCTGCCTTGTTGGTGGTTTGCAACAAGTTGCACTGGAGCAGGCATTCGGATTGCAGCATTTCCAGGAATAGAGTTTCTGTTTCCGCTGGGTTGGACTTGAAGACTAGGTCTGGGTACAGTAGAAAACGTCACGCCAGTATTCGACGCAGTTGCTACTGAATGAATGGGTGCTTGACTAAGTGAAATCATTCCAGTTTTACTATCTGTAGATTTCTGTACTCCTGGAGTTTGTGCTCTGGCTTGTGCCATAGGTACTCCAGCTAATGAAGGTTGGATTTGTTGTATAATACGGGGAGCGATCGCCTGCCCTTGACCAGGCACTGCGACTCCCGTCACCATAYGTGGAGCAAGAAGACGAGAAGCATTAATCACGTTAACATTCCTGTTCAACAAGTCCGCGGCGTTTATAACATATCTTCCACCGGCTCCTGAAGCTAACACAGTCATCGTATTTGGCCTAGGCGCTAACGGAACAGCTGTACTAGGAGTCGGTCTAGGCGCTATGTGTATAACTGTCGTCGAAACAGGAATTCTCTGAGTCGCGATCGCTGATCGGATGTTAGTCGGTTGGCTTAAAATTGGGCTGCTTTGCTTSGGCGGTTGACTTGTAACATTGGCTTGGGAAGTTGTGGACTTGGCCTGAGAAAACACTGGCTTTACTTCATGTGGAGTCGAATTAGTAACTGTAGATGACGCTAGTTGACTTTCTAACGATCCTTTCATCGCACTAACTTCATTTTCGTCGATTTTTTTACCGAGAAGGTCATCGATAAAGGACGACGCCATTTGACCACCATTCTATTGATGCACTAGTTTAAAAGGGACTACTAGCATTATGGGATGGCCACTGCGCTTACGCATAATACTATACATTATTACTGCTGTCCAGCTATACACGAGGGCTCAAGACGACGCTAAATTTGGAGTAAAATAAATGGGTGAAATGAAATGAAGAATAAATAAATAAGTATTTCGTAATTTTCAGATAATATGGTTTAAAGCTTTAAAGAATTTCAAAACTTCTGTAAAACTATAAAACTGTAAAAAGTATGGCACTAGGCGCAAGTGAAGTGAAAAAGGTATATGAAATAAAAAAGTGCAAAAAGTGCTTCCAGACTTAGATATTTTTTTTCGTAGAGCATGAAAGAATTATAGCACTTTTTTACTTGTCGTTCAGAACTTTTTTTTAACCAAGAAATTCAGCTTTGCCTTTATAAGCAAAATAGTTTTAGCTGTGCGTTTAGGTATTTTGCCGTAAATTGCTGAGAGTTACTTTAAATAATTTTCTCATTTCTTTTAATAATATATATATATAAATTTTTTTTTCTACTTCTTTTTCATTTTTTCTGTCAAAATTATGGGAWGTACTGTCAGCATGACTTTTGTGCGCATGCGTCGTTCCTGCCCACTCAAAATAAAAATAAAACACAAAGAACTTGACGAAATATCGTAAAAAATGGCAGAGTTTTTTTGATAATTTTTTAAAGCAATTCCCCATATTGAGTAGCTAGATGTTCAAGTTGATTTAGTTAGAGTCTAAGTCTCTTATTTATGGGAGTTTGCTGCTGTAAATCTCACGATAACTTTGGASAAGATCATAATGATGGCGAAGAGGTGAACTCTCCAGAGAGACGAAGATATGGTCGGAAAAGACCACAAAACCTTGGTGGGACTGACTCCCTCGTCCTTGAAGCTCTRACTGCTCTACGAAAGCTAGCAGATAGGTAAGAAACAAAGCCAATTCCTTTTCATTCTTCCTTACATTGTGTTATATTTTCAGAGGAAATGCTCTCCAGTTGCTGTATTGAATTTTCTCAGCATTCTTTGTTCTATTTGATGAAGTAAATGTTAAGTTTATTTTGTAAGTCAAATACTAATATTAATAATTTGTTTCAATGGATTATAGAACGTTATAAGGGGAGTCAAATAGTACACAATAATAATTTAAATGCTTCTATATTTTATCTAAATTCATACTGCAGTACATAGCTTAACTCTCCTATTTATTTTACTTTTTTATTTTACTATTTTACTTTAAATAAATTATGTTACTATAGAGTTATTTGTACACATCCTATAGGAATTGGTATACTTTTCAGAACATTTATTTTTTGTGGCTTCCCTTTTTATGGCCTTTACTTAGTATTGCCCTATTTTTTTTTAACTTTCACTTTCCTTATCAATAATTGTTGTATTAGAGGTAATTTTCAAAAAGTGAGTTAGAATAATTTCTTGAAAGCACATTTTAAATRTTCTTATTTTTCCAGTAGAATGAAAGAAACTAGGAAATTTGGGCCCCGTCCAAACACGTATCTGGAAATTTTTGTATCCGCAAATTATTTTTTGCGGATATGAAAATRTTCRTGTCCACACSCAGCATATTSGTTTTCACCATCCACACGTATCCGTTTTCRTAAAATTTGCGGATACGGATACAAAAATTTGCGGACACATGTGGATGCAACCTTGGAGACATGAAATGTCAGACAAGTCTTGAAGCCTTGTTGAAATTATAAACTAATACCCATTCGCCAAGGCACATGTTTTAAAGTGGTTTAACTAAACAGGTTTGAAAAACTATCTACCAACACTGCACAATCTTTGGTGAAATATGCATGTAAGCTATCCTTTGTCTTGCTCTGATAATATTTTAGAAATTTTCATTATATTGTAGGTTTCTACTGTAGTTTCTCTTTTTTTTCCTTATGAAAACACAGTTTAACTATAAACACGTTTAGGTGTGAATGGGGTATAAGATTGTTAATGTTTAACTAATAGTTAATAAATTTCATAAAAATCACTTTTTCATTTGCATATRTACAAAACAACTTTGGTCAGTAATAATATTACTTTGGATAAAAACTAAGAAATTTAGAAGTATGTATTATTGATCACATAATCGATCATTTACGTGTCTTAGGCTAGAGCCTGTACATGTATATCACTGTCCAAAGAATGCAACCCACAATTTAATTGGCAATTACTTTTCTCAGTAATAGAGGCTGTTTTAAAAGGAAAAATTATGAAAGGCTTTTACAATGGTCAACAATCAAATTCTTTCAGTAAATAAACAAATGGCTTTCTGGATTGCTAAATATTCCCAAGCAGTATCATAAGTAAACTGATGATTTTGCTAACTTCAACAGTTTCATTCCTGAAGACAGCATTTGCATTCAAAAAAGTGACTCACTTTTATATTAAGGTTCTTTAGCTCTCTCAGCTTTATAGTATTAAGAATCCCAATACTTTGTTAAGAGTAAATTTTGAGTTTATAATCAAAAAAAATTGAAATTAAGCGTACTTACCATATGAACTGATTGCTGAAGATATCTAAAGCCGACCTTAAAGCACATGGGAGTATATAGTAATAGTTGAGTATAATAACCATGCGCATGTGTTAATGGCATTTCCATTACATTGTGTGCTACAGCAGGCTCACTAATAATTAATCAATGTATGACACAGTGCATCATGTTTGCTATGTCTCAGGAAAGGCCTTTGGACTATGCATTGGATGTACCATATGAACCTGGACGTGTATAATAGTAGCATAGGAGTTAAGAAGAGATAACTAGCTAAAAACTAGTGTGAGCTGCGTCGTTGTTTCTAATGAAACAGTATTAATGATAAAAGGGTAAATTTTACACTGTGAAAAGATGAAAAAATTTACTGATGTTTTGGATGCTAGTCCTTCATTGGAGTAAAAGAGGTTTTAGTTGATTTGACTGAGAGTGTCTAAAATGGAGAGAACAATGAAATTGTACATGATGACCTAATCATGTGTCTGATATTGGCTGAGCTAGCAGGCAGTGTTTTCTATCCCTGACTTTGTTCCAGGAACCTAGAAGAGAGAAAAAAAAAACTTAGTTATTTATTGTTTTAAAGTTGGTTCTGATATCGAAAACTGTGATCTCGGCCTTGAAAATGGACCCTGACCTAAAATCCTTGGCCTAATATCCTTGGCCTAAGAGCCTTTGTCTATATATTCAAGACCTCACGCACAATTTTTCCCTAGCTAGACATACTGGCTGGTAAATAATCTCTTTGTATTATTTCAATCCTCCAGTGATGAGGAACCACCAGAATGCATGATAGTCTTGCATTACTTGGCAGAAGAAGGTGAGTTTATTTGGTAGTTAGTATCTAGTTATAGTTTTCCATCAATTTATTATTATCTGATGACAACACTACTGTACGTGTTCCATTTGCATTTTATGAAGAATATAAGTGGACAGTTTATATGTAGAGTTAGGTTAGTGTTTAACTGCTATAAGATTTTGAGACTTACGGTAAATATAGAGACCACTGAATAAGACGTATCTTTTTAGGTTAGCCTATGGCTAGTTACTAGATTTTTATGTTTATATTTTATTCAATTGGATTTTAATCAACTTGGCATTTAATTATTATTTTGTTTTATTCATTCCATATATTTTATTTCTAATTAGTTATTAGTCATTTTTGTCATGAACTTATCATAATAATGCATAATGTCGTAATGCATACTTGATCTTCCTTCAATGTAATTATGGAATAAAAATTATTAAATTATTATTATTATAAATGCTGGAAGGGTATCATGATTGTAGCTGGGTTTTTTTCCACTCTGATTAATCATGATTAAGTCTATTACATATGCTGTTTTTTCTTCAGATGATGGATGGCTAACAATCGTCAAGTCTTGTATTTTTGCGATTCCATTAGAGGACTCCCTTGGTACTGCGRTCTTGTCATTTCTGCTTGACGAGTGCCCTTTGCCTACCAAGGTAACATATTGGAAATGCTAAAGAATTACAATAATTATCTTTAAAAATAGAGGTACTTAGACAATCTTACTCTTGGACTACTTGTGTTAAGGGGCATATCTGTCCATCAGTGGCACTAAAATTACACTTAAACAATTCTTCACCTCAGGCTTATTGATTATAATGAATATTTAMCTTGACGATCGAAGACTCGTGGCTCAGTATATATTCACTATRTTTGCTTTGCCTTCATCAAATAATCATTAAATATCATGTTTATTTCATTAGGATGGTATCAATTCCCTGATAACTAGATTAGATCTGTCCAAAGATACTACMCTTCTTAAACTTGAAACCAAGATGGATACCAGAGAGAGTCCACTGACACCTGCTATATGCCGCAACCTGGCCGTGGTACTTGCTTGTCTAGCAGACAAATTGGCTGGTGTGTCTATTTTGTCATTCTATGATTTCTACCCAAAAATACTAAAAATAGGGAGTGTTTGTAATTTCTGGGGTGTGGGTCTTTCTTATCCATATACGGGGCACTTGAAGCTAATATCAAAACTTGCATTGTGAGGCCATATTACAGTAGTACCAACCCAGGCTTTACACTCTCTACATTCATACTACATTTATTATTTACTTTGCGTAATTATTTTATAATAATTTATCTTTAACAGGTCCAATGAGTATTGCATTACTTAGTCCAGGAAACTTAGAATTTCTTCTTGAACGATTGGTGAGACTCAGTGCCACTCTATCTTYTTTCTACACATTACTAAGGCATCCAAGAGATGCTCTCTGCAACTCTGGTTGTAGCAAGTAGGGAGGGGAGGGGGTGCCATCCCCAAGAGTTTTACTAACCTGTTTATATGGTGGGAAGCTCTCTAGATATAACTCATACATGGCAGGAAAGTGACCGCGACCTCCCTATGCTAGTAGTGTAACTTATTTAGTGGTGTAATAAAATAGCAGATTGTGGATGCATGCAAATGAGATTCAAATGAGACAACGAGCATTATATCGACCCGATAGCCTCACTTGTATGATTCTAACACAAAAGAATATCGCATTGCAGGCTCAACTGTAATAACAGCTATTGTACATTCATCTTCTTCTAATTAGGTGTCCATGGAACTTGATAATGATGATGTGGCTTATGCTCATTTCAATACCTAAAAGTAGCAACATTGATCATTAACTCATGCTATTAGGTTTCTTCCAAGATTGGMCAATATTTGTTTGCATTTTCCATGACTAGGCTTCTTATGATTTTATATTTTAATTTTTTACTGGGTTACCTGTGGTAACCCGTTCATAAAATACCTTTTTTTTAATAGAATGTGAAAGAACACCCAGCTGTTATCTTATTTTCAATATTAGCACTGGAAAAATTTGCCCAAACAAGTAAGTGAAAGTAAAAAGTAAGAGAAAAGTAAATGAAATAAATAGAGGGATGGTTACAGGGCMAGTCAATATGGCCAAAAGAACTGTGGGGAGAGGGGTGGGGATGTGGAAAAAGCTGTGGGAGATAGCAGACAGACCACTACCCCCACAATTTTGACAGTACTAAGCTCTCCCCCAACACCCATCCCCACATAATAGTTTTTTCATCTCCCTGGGCGGGGAGGACAGATTGAGTAATAGGCTCTGAAGAATGAGAGCAAGGATGGGAAGGGATCGATGGGATGGGATGGGATGGGATGGGATGGGATGGGATGGGATGATGAAGAATTAGAAAGGATGGACTTGAGAAACACTAAAAGCACCAAAGGGGAAACCATAAGCTTTAAGAAAATATTAGCCATTGCAAATATCTTTTCTTTAGTAATAATAATTATAATTATATATAGTGATAATTTGATTATGATTATATTATTTTAGGTGAAAATATGAAGACTATTAAAGAGACTGAYATAGCAGAAAGACTGTTGGTCATCGAAAAGGAATTTCTTAAGAGTATCAACCTGCTGGAGCACCAAGCTGGCTTCTGTGCTCAGTGGTGTTTAGACAATTCATGTAAGTTGGCTTGTTTTTTATTAAATAAAAAACTAGGATGCTTGTTTATTTGTGACCAAGTCAAACGGACAATACAACAACAACCTGATTTCTTTCCATGCTTCAATCCACAACAAACGGCGAGAACTACAATAAACAAGTAAAAAATAAACTAATTAATTGTTGATCTATACATTGTCATTGTATTTCAAGAGCAATGTTTTATTTTGTTACTTTTTTCCTATTTCATATACCTTTCGTTGAACCTGGAGCAGTTAAATACCCTGTAAGTAGTTTTGATTCAACCTATTTATATTTATACTTKTTGTAAAAAAACTTATTTCTTCTGCATTAAAAAAAATTTTTTTTGTCTCGTCATCATCAGGGTTACTTAGAGCAACTTTGTTGCATTTCTTTTTAAGGGTCGCGTATTCTCCTATAAAAATGTAGATGTTAGTGATATAAAAGCCATGCTGAATAGTAATGACGTCAGTGAATATCTTAAGATATCCCCCACAGGACTAGAGGTATGTTATATTATGCTTTTAGTAAAAATACACAGGTGATTATTGAAAATCTTGTGCGCTGATTGGTTGAGAAACTCACACTATCACAYGATAAGTACCTCTTACTAGYGATAATCCAAAATAGCGGCCAGCTGCTTTATTGCTGTTACCGGGGRAAAATGTCTTTTATCTTCTTTTTTTCTCATTTTTTGAAAGAATCACCTGTGTATTTATACTAAAACRATTATTTGCCTCCGCCTCAGTGAATAGCGGGGAATATTTACTCATGTCTCGGTAAATATTCCCCGATATTCACTTCGCCTTCAGGGAATAATTGTTAAATATTACATAAATATCTCATTTATTTTGACCGCCACTTGGGCTGTTATAGTATTAACATCATAGGTAAGAGGTCTATAGGGGGATTTCTGTACAATTTGTACAAAATAACTATTTCAAAAAAAAAACATTAAAATAAAAATGGGGAAAAAT